ATGTATATACATGTATATATATGTATATATATATATATATATATATATATATGTATATACATGTATATACATATATATATATGTATATATATGTATACATATACATATCTATATATATGTATATGTATATATATATGTATATGTATATACATATATATATAATACATACATATATGTATAAATATATTCCTTTGACCTTTGTTTCGACCTTCACTATTTTAAATATATTGGGTTTTTAGTGGTCTTGTGATGTTAGTATACTGTAACAGGAAGGCGAAAGAAAAAAGCTAAAAATAACAAAAAGAGAATAGGATCATTTCTATTGGAGGTGGATAAATTATTTTATCAACATAATTAATGTGTATCAGAAGAACTCAAGTACAAACATTTCAGCAGTTATTGAAATGTAAAAAAAACTACAATCTAAACGTGATCTTTATTAAAATAACAGTGTTCCTAAGGTTTTTACAGTTCTGCAGTAAAACAAAGGACAAACGAAGGCAAAATGTCTTTTTGCAATCATCTAGATTGAGGAACAGATGCTGACCTTTGACCCTGAGGCGACATCCACAGCAGCTGAGGTCACAGCCTTGGAGGGCTCTGCGACCATGCTGGGAGATCTCTGATTGGCTGCCGACTTGGACATGCGGGACTCTACCCTGGAGCTGCGATGACAGTATGAATGACGATCAGTAAAACAGAAGAGATTTTAAAAAAAACCTGGATTTCAAAGTTCCTCCTTTATTCTTGCCGTGACAAGCCGTGAAACACAGAGCAGATCTGTGCTGAGCGTTCACATATAAAGGATATGACTATTTCCTGCTGCCATCATGAGATCTGGCACAGCCAATGTGTTAAGAGCTCTGAACTGGCTCTAACACACACGTCTTAAACACACACAGAAAACAATACCAAACTAACACCACACACACTTGCTGGACAAATAATACAAAGATCAACATTACATATTTTCTCTGAACATGAATGTGTTTCATGAATCAAACAAAGTCGACATGGGGAGAAATCGCAGCCTGGTCAGTTGAGGGGATGGACTTGCTTTACTGTATTTCAGAAGATGTTTTTAATCAATGTTTCTCTTTTCTGCCATCATTTTAATTTGTAAAAAATAAAATCAAATCTGTATGCCTATTTTATAATTGTCTATTGTTGTCATCACTTTTTGTTGAAATCAGGTCTCACTTGTAAATGACTCCCCGAGGTTTAACCTGTCTAAATAAAGGTTGAATGAAAAAAAAATTATTCCAGTTAATAGTTTGCTCATTTATGTTTTTTTTTTCTTCGTTTTATTAAAATCAAAGGACTCCCTACTTATGTTTGAGACACTTTCTGACCTGGCACTAAAGGTTGGTGAGTTATACAGAGATACACTTTGGCAATGTATAATTACACAAATGAAATTAATATTAATTTAAGTGTATATTATTTACATAGTGATTAAAGGGTGGTAAAGCTGCTGACTCTGGAGCTTTACTTGCACGCTGTCATTTATCACAGTTTGTCAGCACTTTTCTTTTTCTGCCTGCTGCGATCTATGAACAGCTTCTGAACCATCCGAAGCGAGAGATACGACGTGAGTACAACTCTCTCCAGCGCACACACAAGCAGCTGTGTGTGGCCTCACGAGTGTGCACCATAACTTCATACCAGAATCACAAGAAAAATTTAAAAAATAAGCAAACTCATAAAGTGTATGCCTTGTTTCAGCTTCCACGAGAATTCCTTCGTAGAACCACTTGTTTTGAAATACGAGCTAATTGTTGCATCTTTTGCATGATGTTACATCACGTCTTTTCAAAGGCTTGCATCAGATGCTCTGAACAGAAAACGTGATTAAAAACAGAGCAGCGACAGAAAATAGGCACAAGTATCACTCTCTACATGTTCAGACAAACTTTATGATTAGTGGATAATACAAATGTAGGAAACAGGTGAAATAAACCTTGAACTTAATCTACTTTTTAAAAAAAATACTCCTGACTTGGTAAAGAAGGGAATTAATAAAACAAACAGAGCTGCTAGTTTTCCTGTTGTGTACCTCTGGACTTTATCTAGGAAGAAGGTAAGGATGCTTGTCAGGTAACAGAAAAGCACCTGCAGAGTAAAGGGGACATAAAAACCTGAAACAACAGGAATACAACCTGCAGTCACTCAGCAGGCTGGACGTCGGCCAGCGTTTTTACAGGATGTGTCTGTCGTATCAAGAGGACGCTGCTGCTTTATGTGAAGCTTTCATACTGTTTACCACCACGGTCATTGAAACAGTTCCCCGGGAGATTTGTTGTGGCGTGTGGAAGAGCAGAGCAATATTTCATGTAGTGTGGTGTAGAGGGAGGAAAGTCACTGTGCCCGGATTTCCTGCTCGTCTTGCTATGATAAAGCAGCAAGTATACGGTGCCTGGCGTTTTTTAATCCTTTTGGGCGGTGTGTGTACATGAGAAGAGATAATTAATTGATCGCAGCATAATAATCTATAAAAAAAAGTCAAAGGCTTCGGAGCAGTACAACACAAGCTGATGGAGCTCTCTGCAAGAAGGCCCTCCTGATGCTACTTCCTGCTTTCAGGCTGTCCTCAATCTAATCCAACCTGCAGAGAGTATCCTGACTTAATCTTAGGATAAAGTCATACGTAGAGGATGAGAGTGAACAAAGCCCAGAACTTCACCATCACAAGGCTATCATCATTAGGTAAAGCAAACAAACCTGTCACTGCAGGTAAATGACATCATGGACTAAACGTTGGCTCTCTGAAACTCTGCATTAAAGTTTTAATCATATTTTTTATTCATTCAAACTTTATTTCTACAGTTAGTCTCATTGAGTCACAAAACCAGCCACTAGGGAGCACCAGCCAGTGTATCTCTTGTGCCGGTCCCAAGCCCGGGTAAATGGTGAGGGTTGTGTCAGGAATGGCATCCGATGTAAAACACTTAATGCGAGTTCATCAAAGCGAAACCATACCGGATCGGTTGAGGCCCGGGTTAACAACGACCGCCACCGGTGTTGTTGACAAACAAGGTGCCGGCGGAAATTGTGCTACTGTTAGTCGAAGACCACGAGGAGGGAAACGTGTCAGGAGACAGAGGAGAAGAGGAAAGTGAAGAATGTAGGACTGAGGGTTGCAGCTCTAAATGTGGGGACAATGACAGGCAAAGGCAGAGAGCTGGCTGACATGATGCTGAGAAGGAAGGTAAGGTAGAGAGCTGGCTGACATGATGCTGAGAAGGAAGGTAAGGTAGAGAGCTGGCTGACATGATGCTGAGAAGGAAGGTAGATGTTGTATGTGTCCAAGAGACCAAGTGGAAGGGCAGCAAGGCTCGCAGCATTGGAGCAGGGTTCAAACTGTTTTACCATGGTGTGGACAGAAAGAGACATGAGAAATTTAATCTGCATCACAACGAAGGAACACACTTTTGGAACTATAACTACAAGTAATTTATTGCTATAAATAATAATACATTTTGGAATAATATTATTATAACCTGTAGTAGTACTAATATTAATACAGATTAGCATTTACTGTTAATAAATGTTATGTATTGTATATTTAAATAGCTTTTATTCAGTGACTCTGCAGCAGTTTACTGTAAAAATGACACCACTATAGTTTTACTATGTTACACTAACAACTTGCATAAAATACAGTAAAAACAAACAAAACCAATAAAGTGCTTTATTAGCAAAAATGAAGCTAATTAGTCTAGTTATAGTAAAAATATTGATTACTTTGACTTTGCAGTCTCAAAATTTCACAACTTAAATGACAAAGTTTAAACTTTTGCAGGCTAAACATTGTTACAACTTTTCACCGTGAGTCAGAAAATATGAAACGTTGTGATTCAGTCGGGATTTGCAAAAAGTAACTGAACATGTAAAAAAGTTCAAACTCAAATTCACGCGTGAGCAGAAAATTATGTGTGGACCCTTCAGTACAGCTTTACTCAACACGAGACCGTTACTTTTTGAAAGAACGAAAAAAGATTGTGGGGTATAAACTTTTCCAGCACGTATAGTTAAATAAAAAGAGCATTTCAGCTCAGCGTTTTATAAAAATCCTTCAACTGTGGTCATAAATAGATATGACTTTGGAATCATTTAAGAAAAACTGTAAAAATGAAACAAGTTTCCTGTTTCATGTTTTGGTGTTTGTATTAATCCGAGCAGTTTGTCTGTGACCTCTTTGCTCTACATGCAGTGCATACTTTTAAAAATCACTAACATTAAGACAAGATTAGATATATGTAACAAAATACTTCTACATTTTGTTTTTCACTTTACATGACACTTTTCTGCTGTTACTGCCAAAGTTATAAGAACACATTTGTAATTTCAGGATTACTAAAAAAATGCAGGTGAAGTTTGAGCTTCAGATGGTTTATAAATCTGTGGCTTAGCAGAGCTGAACTAAGGATGAAGATTTTCAAGAATTAATTTCAGTAGACTGCAGACGAGTCCATCACTCAGTTTGTTGTTCTGGCAGAACAGCTTCATAACACCAACAATAAAGAGAGCACGTACTCGTCTCTTTTAATGCTTTTGCCCAAAGTAGAAGCACGTTGTGCATGACTGTACGACACATGGCGGCTTCAATATGAGCAGACACCTGCTGCCTCGAACTGAGCGCTAAACCTGCCGTGCAGCTCTAAAGACTGTGCAGGATGATTCACGCAGCAGCAGGAAGTGACCATAAATCCCAGCTGCATGTCAGGACAGAACATATGGTGATGAATAAAAACAATGCAATGCTGCTGCTTTAGGTCATTTCCTCTAACACGCCCACAATTCTCCATCAAACAAACAAAAAATCAGGAAGAGCTGTCCACTTCACAGAAATACCTCTGTTGAATAAAAAGCACAATGTCCACTGGGCAGGTTGATGAGTCAGACTCAGAAGCCACGATATGAACATCCTCACCTACATCGCCCCAATCCACAGGACTTCAGTTGCAAAAAGGACTTATTTACCTTATTGCCCATTTGCACCTTGCTAATGCATATTGGACTTTGTTCTATTATGCAGTTTTATTTTGTATTATTTTATGTATGCTCTACAAGCCTCTTTTAATTGCCCCAGTTCGATTTTTGAATCGAACTGAACTGAATTGAACTGAATTGAATTGAATTGAATTGAAGTAGCACGTGCAGGTTTCAGGTGTGACACTACCAGAGAGACTACTGAAGTAAAGACATGAACAAAACTAATAAACTTCCAGGAGCCAATCGTGCCATCATGTTTTTGCAGTTATAAATATCATTACAGAAAGAATTGAACGCAGCCTGATTAGAAAAGTGCACGTGTTCAAACGTACACCTTGACTATGACTGAAGCTATTTACTCCTCTGAAAATCAGCTCATGTGACAACAGGAAAGTGACGGTCCATTTCTACATCATCCTTTAAAGCCTCCATCACGTGTTCTTGTAACAACGGCTCTATACGTTTAATCAAGAAGCGCAGAGACCAGCTCACCTGTCTTGTAATGTGTATTCTATGTTATCAGATGAAATCTGTCCAGTCACAGGATGTCGAAACGATGTCGTCCTCAGGTTGTGGCTGAAGCAAAGAGCAGAAAACAAATGAATAATGTATAATGTCAGTAACCATAATCCTGCCTGATCATGTTTATGCTTTTTAGAGTTTCAGTTTGTCTGTGAAACCACATGAAGTTCCTTGAAGTTTACTGCGAGGCCTCAGTCAACAGCAGAAATCTGCACAGCTCATATTCTTTTACACAAAGGTCAGAGCTCAGCAATCTTCTTCATCCAGCCCACTGGTCTTTATTGATTTCAGCAGCAGGATGGGGCCATCCGTTGCTTTAAGTGGAGCAGAAACGCATGTTCCTGTCACATGGCAGAATAACAACCAGCTGCTGGTGAAACGACTCAAATATTGTGAAACTACTTTATTAGTATCATCTGATATTCCGTTTAACACTATTATGGCACCAAATTACAAAACATGTTAAAGATAATGATAATCATTAGAATTATCCATCACTAAATCGTACGTGTTAATCTGATTTAGAGAGTATCAAATCTTGTCATGTAATTCTGCAGTTATTTGTCATCCTATAATGTGTCAGAGCATGTTGATTTGTGTCATATCATATTGTATCATACGGTGCATCAAATTGTATTAATATGGTATGGTATTTTATTGAATAATTATCTAGCACAGAGCTTTTCAGCTAAACTGCTCAGGGGGGCACAGTTACTGAAAACCAAGAGCTCAGGGGCCGGACATCCAGCAGTTATTGTCATTAAACAAGTTTGTTTTATGGTTTAAATATATAGTTTGATTTAAAATGAACCCAATGGTGGACCGAACTGAGCTCGTCCATGGGCCTGATTTGGCCCCCGGGCCACCAGTTGAATAACCCTCCATCATCATCTGAAATCATAAAACATCACTAAAGGTCCAGTGAATTCTAACTGATACATCATTTGCAACAATATTTTGTAAGTTCAGAAAAAAACTTTACAAACCTGTCCTGAAAAAAAAAGTTAAACGAAAAAATTTGGGATATCTGAGTTAAAGTTCAACATATTAATTTTGCCTTTAAGACTGGAAGACTTATTGTAGAGAACTGTCAAAACATGCTTTCATGCCTACCTGAAGTACTGTTATTAGTCATTTATATTTTCTCCTTTTAACACCATCATAAACATTTTATTTTTAAACTGTTACAGCTAGTTTTTATTAAAAAAGAATCAAACTTCGTTCAGTTTTCTTAGTTACTACTAAATGAGAAATTAATACACGTCTTTACATAAAGTGCACCAAGAACAAAACCTACTAAATCAGCCAGAGTGGCAACAACAGTCTAAATCACAGAAGCAGAGTTTCGGTGCTGTAGAGGCACAGCAAGACACGGAGCAGGTCCTCTCTGCACCAAAGGGTGGGGATGAAACCGCATGGGGTGAAAGATTCATGAGCTGACAATTCAGCAACCGTCAGAGGGAAAAAGATGAAATAACAGGAAAAAGCAATCTATACATTCATGTTTGTGATGCATTCACTACAATATCATCATTGCACACACAGGCTTAATCCAAGCCAATAACTCATGCAGCCCTGCATCCCCGCTTCATTAAGAACCTGCATTCTTCAGGCTTTTGTTTTATGCACATTATTTCTGAACTATTTGTCATGGAATTTGCAGCACCTCCAGTTGGTGTGTGAGCGCTGCGGCACAGTAGGCCTATTTATTTGCAGAGAAAGTCACTATTAAAACTGGTGAGAACATTTTTACACGAAGACAGACACAATCCTGCTGCACAACACTGATTTCCTGTTAATGGAAAGGAGAAACAGTTTAATAGTTTGTTTAATATAATTATCTGGTTCATAAAATATCTTTGTTTTTAAGTATCCTGTTCTCTGTTATACAAATCACAAGTTCAGTTTGAAAAACAGGCTCTCTGCTGCTCCACATGTTTCAGTGGGCGGGTGAACAAACAACCAGGTCACACTGCGTTTCTGTTTCAAGCCAGATAAAATGACTGGCATGTCTTCTTGCACTGATATATGTTCAAGAAGGAATTTTTCAGGGCCTTGCATCAATCCTAGATAAGAAGAAAAATGCCTTCATAAATTAAAACACAGCTTAACCCTGGACAGAAAAATAAGAGTAAAAAAGTGAAGTGGTTAATATAAAGTAGCCTCTCTTTCCAGTGAATAGAATAAAAGTCTGGTCTTCATTTATTCTTTTTCACCATAATGTGCAAAAACTCAGATTATAATCCCAAGAGAGTGCTGTGTTTCCTAAAGTTGGACTGCATGATTCAGCCCTTCAGCACCATATGAGTAGTTTTGTTGTTGTTGTTTGTAAAACATGAATCTAATGGTAATCCATATCTGAGAAGACAATGAGTTCTGGCTGCAGGATAGGAGATGCAAAGCTCTGCATGCGTTTTACACAGGCAGGAAACTCCTCGACAAACTCCACCAAACTCATCTGCTGTGCCTCAGACATTCACTTATGCTCTCTATCGTTTAAAGGACTACTGACGTTTAAAAAAAATAAAATCCCCCAGATTGTTTCTGTTACCTTCTCTTGTTCCAGTCTCACCTGCTGTGAGTTTGTGATTCATCATGAAAAAGCTGCTGCACTCGCTGTGAAGCTGCAGGTCACAGAAATCCTCCTGAAATTAAAGCAGCAGGTGAAAGGTGCAGAGAACGTGTGTCCTCTTGCAGCTTTTATCCTCGCAGAGCAAAGTGGAGCCAGCAGGACGTGAGCTGAAGAGGGAGCTCTTCATCGCCTGTTCCTGGAGTTCAGACGAGCTGATGAAGAGTCCCTGCCATCGGGGGAACGCCTTGTTGGTCCTTCAGATCCTCCCCATTGGCTTCTCTTCTACCCTCTCACTCTACTTTTCCCAGAATTAGCTTTAAAAAATCACATTTTTCCTGGGGAGCAAAGTTGTGCAGCTGCTGCTGAAAAGTCGTGGCATAAAAATGAACGGAGGAAGGAAGTTAAATTGTTTTGTCTAATATTTTTGACATCCTCAGCTACAACTTTTATTAATCATCTAGTTAGCAGTTCATGTAATGATTCTAGATAAAAACTAAAGTATTTTTACTAAACAAAAAATAAAACAGAGCATTTGTTTTCATTCTGATTTTGAGGGTAAAAATAGCTTTGTGGGGGAGTTGGGTATAATTTGGGTGGATTTGGAGTCAGATCTGCAGTTTTTGACCTTTTAGACACATTTCAACCAATCGTTCAGCATTATTGGTCCAAAGCTGCCCTGACCTTTCTCCATCACTGATTGGCTATTGTCCCCTGCCAGGGCATTCACAACAGAGATCTGGTGAGGCAGCGCTTTAAATTATGCTAGTTTTAGTGGACACCTCGTTGAGCGGACTGACCCGTTGCAGCGGTACGGCAGCGCGTCCGCCATATTGGATGTGGCAGATCTGTGGGTCAACTAAAACAAGGAAATGGACTGAACTTCATTAAGCACCGTTCTACAAAGTGTTTTATGGTAATGCCTGTCATTCACAAACACTAATATATTTGGAAAACAAACAGACAGAAAAGACAACATTTATAACTTTTAACATGTCTATAGATCCTGAAATGTGAATTTTCTAAATAAAGACACTCACGTTTAACTGATTTTGATTAATCACATCAATGAACATACAGTATATACACCAATATATCTTTATACCTTCACCTGTACTGATGTGTATTCATGTTCAAACAGTAAATATAACAATATATTGATTGGGCGGGTTCTTGGGTGATGTAGTGGTTTTTAACAGATTTTTGGGCTGGAAAATTTCGACTCTATCTAGCAACACGGCTTTCAGGTGCCTTAAAGGCAACAGAGATAAATTATCTGGACTGCACATGAAGGCAATAGGTGACACCAAGATAGTGTTGGCTTATTAGCTATTATTAACTGTGAGCCGCTCAAATATGCATTTAACCAAGTTTGTCTCCTTCTCTGTTTCTGCCCTTGGTTTACGTCTGAATTTTGGCTGAAGAAAGCCAAAGGCCAATGGCTTGAGTGTCTCTATAGAAAAACTGGTCTTGCAATCCACACAGAAATGCACAAAAATCATGTTCAAAAGGATGAAATTGTATTGCTCATGCTAGATCCACTTGTTTCTCTAAATTATTTCATTTAAATGAAGAAAATTCTAAGCAAGTGTTTTTGTTTCTTAATAAAACGTTCCAATGCCCAGCTTCTCTTCCACCTCATCTGAACTCTGTTGCTTTCTGTGACTCCTTAATGGCCCTTTGTAATGACAAAATTAATAAAATTCACCTGCTTCTCAGTTCAAACCCTGCTATTAATACCTCCTCCCACCCCCTTTCACATCTCACTCTTTCTTTGCTTTTCAGCTTCTCTCTCTCAGACATCTCTGATTTCATCCTCAAGTTCAAGACGTCCACTTGTCAGTCGGATCCCATCCCTGCAGTTCTGGTAAAATCCTGCCTCCCTCTCTGCCCCCCAGTCTCTGCTATCATCATTTCTTTACTCACCAGCTGCTAAAAACAGCTGCCATCACTCCAATATTGAAACAAAAACTGGTGCTGATCCAACTAAATTTAATCATCTTCATCCAAATACCTGTTCTTTCTAAAAATCATGAAAAAGTTGTTGCTGCTCAACTTCATTTTCACTTAACAAATTATAATCTTTACGAACAATTCCAGTGTCTGGTTTTCATCCCCTCCATATCACAAAAACTGCTCTTATAAAAACCACTAATGACCTATTGGCCGCAGACTTCGGCTTACTTTGATGTTTCCGTTGTCATTCTTCTTGATCTGAGTACGGCCTTCAGAACCATTTCTCTCTCCTCATTTGGGTATCTCTCACACGCCCTTGACTGGTTTAAATTATATCCTTTGGGCCACAAAGTTCATTCAACTTCAATCTTTTGCTTCCAAGCCTTCCCCTGTAACCACCAGTGTTCCACAGGGCTCTGTCCCTGGGCCCCTCCACTTCTTTTATCGCCTTCCCATTGGTAATATTTTCTGTAAATATAACATCATCTGCATTGTTGTGCAGATGACACCCAGCTCTTCCTTTCCAATA